TTCTTTCTTTCTTTCTTTCTTTCTTTCTTTCTTTCTTTCTTTCTTTCTTTCTTTCTTTCTTTCTTTCTTTCTTTCTTTCTTTCTTTCTTTCTTTCTGTGAGTTAGTCTCAAACTGTTAACTTTAAAGTATTTTAAATAAATAAATGTACAGAACTAAATATTCCTGGTTCATTGTGTAGTTTTTTCTCTATTTTTCCAGTGATTGCCATATGCAACAATTCATGACTACATTTTGATAGGCACTCATTAAACAATTTTCCTTATTTTGTGATGCCATTCAACTAACTCATATATCTTGGACATAAATATGCACACTTAGATAGATATCAGATATCTAGAGAACCTAAGCTAGGACCACTTTTATACTAATTCCCTCACTCCCCATGCCCAGCTCCAAAGCAGACAATCCTGTAATTTATTTTATTTTTTTACCTTCTTGTTCTTAGATGTTTCCAATAAACCCATCCAGAAATTGCTGTGGCTGTCACAAGGAATCCCATAATGATTCCAGCCACAACTGGGGCAGACAGAGTTTCAGAATCTGCTGAAGCAGCTGCTGCTAGACACCAAAACAAGGAAAAATTCCATTTATATAAGGTACTTTTCTCTCCAGCCCAGAAAAAAAAAATACTGTCAAAGTAATTTGTAGTCCCTTCATGATTAGAAAGCATTAACAATTCAATACCCCAAGTCAAATGATTGGACATAAAAACAATTCCATACCCCAAAGTAGAACAGAACAGAGTATTCTGATATATTTTGATTTGGTGGGAAGACAGGATGCTGGAGAAAGTGCGGGAACTGGAAAGTGCGTACTGGGTACAGGACAGGTACAGAGACTAAGTGGTGGATTGTATGTGCACATGCACAGGTGTAGTCTGGAAATGCCATTGAGTGAACTGTATGGCCCACAGAGCCAAAAGATTTCCCAGCCATATCATACCCCCAGGGCCCATTCAGAAGAGATACGTACAACACCACTGAAGGAAGACAACCTGACCAAGCCCAAGTAAGAGCCCATGTTTGGGATTACATCAGGGCAGCAAAACATAGTTATTTCTCCACTCTTATCACATCTACAGATAGCCATCTAGCAGCCCTCCAACAAGGAGTAAGTGAATTCCTTGCTGGAAGGATGACCCACACGATCATCTAGACAGCTGCTATGAGGAATATTTTATGCATCTGGCAGATAGTCACTTGGATTCATTTGGACTCTGACTGGGCATGTCCTAATGAGATGATGGAAGCAAGCCTTGTTTGGTTAATGGCAGCTCCAATGTACATCCCTACTATATGGCTTACATGGTGATAAGATGGGAGCTTATATCTGGATAGACATGCACAGGATTGTGCAATTGGTAATTTAATGAGATCATTTAATATATTCCTTTGAACATCTGGAACAGGCAGGAGAAACCTTAATGAAATTAGATAGAAACTAGACATCTATTTAATCCAGAATATAAACAAACATAGAAACACACCTTACCTGAGAACACTGTGAAGGACACTTTTGGAGTCTGTTGGCTGTATCTGGTGAATGCAGCAATGCTGAACCTATAGGAACATTGAAATAAAACTTCTTTTTTTTTGCAATAATTTTATTAAAGTTTACAAGTACAAAGATAAAAGACTAATATAAACTAATAAAAATATAAAACGTAAAGAGAAGAGAAAGAAAAGTGCATTGAGAGAGAAAAGAGAAAAGAGAAAAGGAAAAAAAAAAGAAAAAGAAAAAGATATATAAAAGAATGACTCCCCCCTCCCTCCAGGCAAGTATAAACAACTTCAGTAACTTAACACCTTCTCTAATGTTTCAATAAAAAAAATAACTTCTCATATATCATCTCTTATCAATAAACAAATTGTAAAAACTCATCATTCAGTCCTATTCAACAAAAGTCCATTAAGAGCTACCAGAAATAATAACATTTTAACCTTAATCAAATAAATCGATTTTGTATTCCAACTTATCACTTTCTCTGAGGAATAAAGCAAAAGAAATCTCTCCTCATTTATAAACAAATATTTAAAGCCTTGTCATTCAGTCTTGATCAAACAGAAATTCCATTAATACCTACAGGAAACACACCATCTATATTTTAACCCTGGTCAAATAAATTCACTTTGTAGTTCTTCCATTTACTTTTGAAAAGCTTGATCTTTAATCCCTTCAAATAATATCCCACAAATTGATTTCTTATCATTTTCTCTTTGTCTCCTCTCAGGAACAG